ATAATTACTTTCAGCATATTATATATAAAAGTTAGTGAAATAACAATAATTACTTTCAGCATATTTTATATAAAAGTAAGTGAAATTACAATAATTACTTTCGGCATATTTTATATAAAAGTAAGTGAAATTACAATAATTACTTTCAGCATATTTTATATAAAAGTAAGTGAAATAACAATTATTACTTTCGGCATATTTTATATAAAAGTAAGTGAAATAACAATTATTACTTTCGGCATATTTTATATAAGTTAGTGAAATTACAATAATTACTTTCAGCATATTTTATATAAAAGTAAGTGAAATAACAATTATTACTTTCGGCATATTTTATATAAAAGTAAGTGAAATAACAATTATTACTTTCGGCATATCTTATATAAAAGTAAGTGAAATAACAATTATTACTTTCGGCATATCTTATATAAGTTAGTGAAATAACAATAATTACTTTCGGCATATTATATATATAAGTTAGTGAAATTACAATAATTACTTTCGGCATATTATATATATAAGTTAGTGAAATTACAATAATTACTTTCGGCATATTATATATATAAGTTAGTGAAATTACAATAATTACTTTCGGCATATTATATATATAAGTTAGTGAAATTACAATAATTACTTTCAGCATATTTTATATAAAAGTAAGTGAAATTACAATAATTACTTTCAGCATATTTTATATAAAAGTAAGTGAAATAACAATTATTACTTTCGGCATATTTTATATAAGTTAGTGAAATAACAATAATTACTTTCAGCATATTATATATAAAAGTTAGTGAAATAACAATAATTACTTTCAGCATATTTTATATAAAAGTAAGTGAAATTACAATAATTACTTTCGGCATATTTTATATAAAAGTAAGTGAAATTACAATAATTACTTTCAGCATATTTTATATAAAAGTAAGTGAAATAACAATTATTACTTTCGGCATATTTTATATAAAAGTAAGTGAAATAACAATTATTACTTTCGGCATATTTTATATAAGTTAGTGAAATAACAATAATTACTTTCGGCATATTTTATATAAAAGTAAGTGAAATAACAATTATTACTTTTGGCATATTTTATATAAAAGTAAGTGAAATAACAATTATTACTTTTGGCATATTTTATATAAAAGTAAGTGAAATAACAATTATTACTTTTGGCATATTTTATATAAAAGTAAGTGAAATAACAATTATTACTTTTGGCATATTTTATATAAAAGTAAGTGAAATAACAATTATTACTTTTGGCATATTTTATATAAAAGTAAGTGAAATAACAATTATTACTTTTGGCATATTTTATATAAAAGTAAGTGAAATAACAATTATTACTTTCGGCATATTTTATATAAGTTAGTGAAATAACAATAATTACTTTCAGCATATTATATAATATATTAATATAAATGATCAAAAGATTTTTTAGGAACTGAAACCAAAGTATACAAGTTTGTATTTTTTGTTACACTTGGTGTTCGAAGGGTTAAAACTTACCGATCCCTCTTTCTTGTCTTTACAAAGATATAAAGCATGTCCTCGTAATACCACCCATAATGGCTTCCAAGATCTATCACTTGATTTCTAAAATACACAAATAGTAAAATAATATTAGAGGTTATTTCACAGCAGTGCTTTGCAGTTGGCAATTAGGCAAATTTTGTCATGATACCATCAATGTTGTACACTCATTGAATTTCATGAAATAAGATAGTGGACCAAAGCCATATACGCCCACCACGGTATACGGATGGTAAATATTCAAGATTTTGGGGCAAGGGCAATAACTCTGCTTCTAACAGTGAAAATAGCTCAAATTCGAACTTGATCTTTGTTTTATGAATATGTATACACATACCGAATTTCATTTGATTCCATCAAAAAATCTAGTTTTTAGAGCGTTTACAAGCAAATGTTGACAGACGGACGGATCGACGGACCCACAGGGGTGCCAACAATATACATCCACACAGAGAGATGTGGGTGTATAAAAATGGAGATTTACATCTTACTTCTCAGCTTATCAGCACAATAGATCAAAATGGAGTTTAATGCCCTACTGTTCAGAATCTTATTGAGCACAAATGAAATAAAACCAAGATTTATGTGGTACTGTTCTGTTCTGTTGACAGACGGACGGATCGACGGACCCACAGGGGTGCCAACAATATACATCCACACAGAGAGATGTGGGTGTATAAAAATGGAGATTTACATCTTACTTCTCAGCTTATCAGCACAATAGATCAAAATGGAGTTT